TTTATGCCTTGAGACAGAAACTTTTCAAATAAAAATAAACCTGCTATAAAATTAAACCACTTTCAACAGGAATGGTGGCACACAATTGTAATCCCAGCACATCAGAGGCTGAGGCAGAGGATCGCTGTGAATTTGAAGCCAGCCAGTGCTACAAAGAGAGTTCAAGGCAAGTCAGAACTTCAGAGTAAAACCTTGTCTCAAAAAGACAAAAAATTAAAATTAAAAAATAAACCACTTTCAAATTAGATTTTAGTTTATATCAGAATTTCAATTGACAAGAAAAATAACTTGAAAGCAATAAGTTAAAACCCACACTTCATTGATGATTTAGAACTGTACAATATAGTAGCCATAAGCCACGTGTGATTATTTAAATTATTTTAAGTTAGATAAAACTAAAAATTCAAGTGCTCAACAGCTATATGTAGTTAGAACCGGATAGCATATAAAGTATGTTCTTTACTGCAGCAAGTTCTGATTGTAGTTTTGATAAGCAATAAGTAAACTAATATTCTAAAAATACCTATAATGTAGCAGTAGAAGTTCCATTTGTATTTAAAAAAGTAAGCAAAATAAGTGAGAGAATAAACTCTATGAGTAGTCAAGATGGCTATTTTCACATTCATTAGTCCTGCATCGTTTTCTTTCTTTTTTCTTGCTAATGTACTGCCCAAAGTAGAGCCTGATTCTTACCACATCATCTTTCTAGACAGTGTGAGATTTAAAGCGATGATTCTGTTATGGCTGCATGAAGTAGTCACCTCAGGTACACATGCATGTCTCTATAGTACACATAGATCCTACCCTATTCTAAAGCTCCACAAAGATGTGACTGTGGAAATAGGGCTCAGAATTTTACTTAACCAGTAGAAAAACAGCATTAGATGATAGCGATGGGCCCTGAAATGTTAGAGATAACTGGGAATATAACTTCCCAATTAAAGATTTTCTGTTGGAGATCTATACTTTATTTGCTCTTAATGTATTTACCAGGTTTGGGCAACAAACCCTGAGAGCCACATGAAAAACAGGAGACAGAGAATAGCTGAATGCAAGAGGTTTATTTTAGGTTCCAAGGTACAGTAACCATTTTATTGAATTAGAAACTTTTATCTGATTGTTCCCTAAAGAGCTTCCTTGTTTTCTCATGAGGCCCATTTCCCCTGGAGTTGGCAAAACATCCTGTCTTCCAGATGCTGCAGCTCCTTGGAGATAGCAGTCTCCATCCCCTACCCCACCCAGTCAATCTGGTCAGATCCTGGCCCATTGGCTATTGCAAGGAACTGCACATGTATCAGTTCAAGGAATATTAGGAATTTAAGGTTCCTTTTATAATGAGCAAACTGACTTAGCTCTATTTCTTGCTACAGTTTCTCTCGTTGTATTTCTAATTTTGTTGTTAGTTTATCATGGATTATATTATTATTATTGTATTTAAATGATTTAGAAAGGCTGCAAACCTGTCTTTTGATTAACTATATCAAAAGTCTAAATTAGAGATAGAACTTTAACTGATCAGTGAAAAAGTGTTTCATGCGTTGTTTCCAAAAAAGGACCATTCGGGGGGCTGGAGGTTTAGCTCAGTGCCATAAGTGCCTGCCTTTAAGCAGGAAGTCGTGAGTTCGATCCCCGGTACCGATAAAAAGGAAAAAGCCAAAAAAAAAAAAAAAAGACCATTCATAGCCGGTAAACTTACAACCTCGGTATTACGGACATGATGTTTTAGTCTAAAAACCAACTGTTTTTTAAAAAAATCTAGTATGTGTCTATCAACAGATGAATGGGGGGGGGACGTTATATTTACACACAGTGGAGTAGTACTATGTCATAAAGAAATATAACCTTGAGCCATTTGTAGAAAAATGGATGCACCTTGAGACTATAATATTTAGTAAAGTAAATCAGACCCACAGGCTTAAGTATCTTATGGTTTCTCTTATATAAGAAAATCAAAATACAAAGAGCAAAATAAAAGATAATAGAAAGTAGAAAGATAGCTCTTTTTCAAAGAGGAAGGGGATCAAGAAATGGAGGAGGGAAAGGGAATGAAAAAAGCAACTAAAGTATATGTTAAAGTCCAAGCTTCTTTATGTTGACATGAGCACCCTTAAAGTGATTATGAAGTATGAGTCTATTTTATTTCATGATAGTACTATATACATGAGTGAATATCTGCATTTCATTTTAAAAACCTTCCGAAAGAGCCAGGCATGATGGCACACGCCTGTAACCTCAGCACTCAGGAGGCTTGACACAGGAGGCTTGCTGTGACTTTGAGGTCAGCATGGGCTACAAAGTGAGTTCAAGGTCAGGTGACCTGTGTAGTGAAACACAGTCTCAAACTACCCTCTTTTAAAAACACCTGCCGAAAATACTATAGATAGATTATAGTACCAATGAAAGATTATTCAACCAGGCTTCATAATGTTTCATTAATAACTTATAAGTATTCTTCATCTTTAGGGGTGGTATTTTGAAAATACTTTCTCCCTTTAAAACATTTATATTTTAGAAAGCATTTGTATTTTTTTTCAGTGAGTGATAAAAGGATACAGAAAGAACTTTCATTTGTGCAAAGGAAGTAGAATTTGTTTTAAAGTGCAGAGAGCAAAAGAAAATGTGACAAAGTGTGAAGGTGAGTGTGACTTCACAGTTGTGCAACAGTGTGAAGTTGCATTCAACCTTTGAAATACTGCACTAAAGTTTCCACCTCTCTATCCCAGCTTCAAACCTCCTGAACAACAACCAGCACGTCAGACAGTGTGCTCTCATCAGCGTAAATCTTGAGGAAGTTTTTTTGGATGTTAGCATATCTTTTTTTTTTTTTTTTTAAGTACCAATGTGACTTTATTCATTGTACATTTCTGGGAAAAGAGAAAGGATGAAAAGAGCACATATGTTACAAACTTTTTAGAAAACAGGAAAGGACATGAGTGTGGTACTGGTATACAGCAAAACCAACCACCAGTTAGATCACTAGTGATAAGTAGCACCAAGACCCAAAGTGCAGTTGGCATCGTGGGTAAAGTGGGACCCCAAGGAGCAGTGTTCCAAAGGAGAAAATAAATAAAATCACATTGACCAGGAAGGCAGTCAAAGTGAGTTAGGAGCAGCAGATCTGCAGCCATTTCCCAATCACTCTTTTTTCCTGTCGCAGAAGCGCATCACTTAGAACAGTTCCCAGCACCACAGCCCAGGGAAAGAAAATTATTTTCTAATTATTTAGCAAGAGTGGCTATGTCGCTTAGTTGTGGTCTTCAGTTCTATTAAATAAAACCCATTCATCTATTCCAAAACTATTCTTTTCCAATAGCTGTTTTAAAAAAAAAATTTATCAAAACAGGTGGCTGTAATTACCATTTCTTTTAAGACATACGAACACTTAAAAATAATTAAAATTCCATGTGCTAAACATGTTTTATAATAAAGTATGTTTGAAAAATTTAAATCATAAGGGCGTAAATGAAAAATCCCTTTTCCTGTGACCCTGTGATATCCAAACCCAGCTTTAGCTTTGTACTCCAAAAACTTGTTAAAAAGGAAAAAAAAAAAGGCAGTAAATGTGGTTTTTTAACTGTGTTTATCAATCATATTTTAAATGTATTTACTGGAAATAATGTGTAGTGCTGAGGGATGTCAAATGGAACACATGATAAACAGGAAAAGTTCTCTGCTTTTGTAGTGCTTACAACTAACAAAAACAAACATACTATAAATAAGCATGAATTAAATTTGCTTACTAACTTCCTTGGGTCAAAAATTGTTCAGGAGTAATTAACCTCCATCTGTTCGATAAATTCTATAATGGAACCTTATTAGCAACTGCTGTTTTTATTGCACTATCATTGAAAAAGCCTGTGAAACTAAGTTTTTAAATTTTCTTAAATATATTGAGATTTGTGTTCTACCATGTGGCATTGAGAAGAATATGCATCTGTGGACACCTGTTAAGTCTGTTTATCCTCGAGTGTAGTTTAATTCTGCTGTGTCTTTGTTATTTTCTATCTGAATGATTTGTCCATTGTTGAAACTTTAAAAAGTGCTCTTCAGCACTGTTGAAATCTTATCTTTCCCTCTAGGTCTGTTAATATTGCTTTATATATTTATGTGCTCTGTTATTAAGTGCACATAAAATTATATTGCTGTTTCCTCTTTTTAAACTGACCCTTTTATATAGCGACCATTGTCTCTTTTTATTACTGTTTTGATTTCAAATCTTTTTTATCTGAAATAAGTATGGCTAATTCTGCATTCTTTTAGATGCCCTTTGCAAAGTATTATTTTTCAGTCTTCTCACTTTCAAACTAGGAATGTCATTAGAGGTAAATTGAGTTTCTTGTAAGCATCATATATTTATGTCTTAGCCATTGACCTCTGCTCATTATTGCATTTCACTGGCCTGGCACTGAGTCCAAGACAAAGTCCTGTGATTATTTTGTCCTACTCACAAGAAATAGGGACTTTCTCTGCATTGTACTATGCAAGTTTGGGGGAAGGGTGACAGAGACAATTACTTGGCACCAGTCTAACTCTGGTCCTCAGGTTCAGTCCAGAGGCACTAGCTAAGAGAGAAAGATTGTACGGCCCTGTTCAACACTGGATTGATTGCATCATGGTGGGCCATGCACTGGTTTTGAGTCTTAAGTCCTGGACCTGATTCTCTCTTCCTAGGCTTCTCTTCATACGGTGTTGTTTGAAATTCAGGCAGAGTTCTTGGGCAACTCTTGTCTCTCTCTTTCAAGTGGTTTTTCTTATTGTTATGTAAAAACTGGGTTCTGTGATGTCTCACCTGGTTTCCTTAGTGCTAAAAAGGTAATTTCCTACGTGAATAGTTAAAATGGATGTCTGGAGGGTCTTACTCTGCTGCTATGATGTTCTGCCTTACAGTTAGAGATTTGATATTGTCTGTGAAGCATTCAATGAAAAATACTGACGCCACTTGTTAGCTTTGCTTTCTATTTCTTCATTTACTACTTTTGTCTCATTTTGTTTTGTTTTAGATCACTGTGTCCACTACTACGATCTTCGTAACACTAAACAGCCAATCATGGTATTCAAGGGACACCGAAAAGCAGTGTCTTATGCAAAGTTTGTGAGTGGTGAGGAAATTGTCTCTGCGTGAGTATTACTCTCCTCAGAGGATGAGCTTAATACAGAACTGTCATCGTTTGACAGTTTGTAAAGTCACTCTGAATGTATGTGAAGAATAACATTGGGTTTTATGCCTTTTTTTTAAATGGTAGATATATCTTTTCCCATTAAAATTCATGTATATTCCAACCTGAATTGCTCACTTGTATATATTATATTTGAATATCAGCTTATATATTTGAACATCAGTTTTTAATGTAACCTCTATTATCTAATTCTCCTACATACGATTTCATTTGAACTTCAAATTGAATTTCACTTATTGCTTCTCCTGAAGAACAGCATAGTTGATGCAATAGAATGAGAAGTATTTTAATTATTAAAGTCGATTAATATTACTGTATATCTAATTACAGTACAGTAGTAAAATTATTTTCAATTTTAAATAATCTTTTGACTTGTATACTAATACTGATTTCTTTGATTTGACCATTTTTTTAAATATCTAGGTTGCTGATCCATTTTGATTTGATTTTGGTACAGTGTGAGAAAGATATATCTAGATCCATTCTCCTATGAATAACTAGGTTTCTCAGCGCCGTCTGTTAGAGGCTTTTTTCAGCGTGTGTTTTTGCTCCTTTGGTCAAAAATCAGACAGCTAAAAGAGCATAGGTTCTTATGCATCCTCAGTTCCATTTTATTGGTTAGCCTGTCTATTTTTGTGCCACTATCATGCTATTTTTATTATTCTAGCTTTATAGTACAATTTAAAATCAAAATTGTATTGCCTCCGTTGTGCTTTTTTTTGGATCAGAATTGCTTTGTCTATTCTGGGTCTTACCTGGTTCTGTATAAATTTAAGGATTGATTTTCTAGTTCTGTGATGAAAGCTGCTTATATTTTGATTAGAACTACATTAAACCCATATATCAGTTTCTTAAAATATGGCTGTTTTAGCAGTATAGGTCTGTCAATCTGGGATATTTTGCTAACATTCTCTCTTTTTTTTTTGGTCTTTTTCGTTTTTATCGGTACCAAACTCATGACTGCCTGTTTACAAGACAGGCGCTTATGCCGCTGAGCTAAATCCCCAGACCCCTATTTTGCTAACATTCTCTTCAGTCTCTTTTTTTTTAGGAGTACAGTACATAGATTAGAGGTGTTTTAACTTCCTTGGTTAGGTTACTTCGTAGCTGTTAATATTTTTGGAGGTTACCATGAATGAGATTGTTTTCCTCATTTCTTTTTCAGTGGGTTCATTGTTACTATACATGAATGTTATTGATGTTTGTATGTTAAATTTGTGTCCTGAATTTAGTTCTAAAAGCCTTCTGGGAGAGATTTTTGGACTTTCTGTGTAAAAGATCATGTCATCTGCAAATAAAGATAGTTTGACTTCTTCCTTTCCTGTTTGTATCCATTTTATTTCTTTGTCTTTCCTGCTTGTTCTGGCAAAAGTTTTGAGTACTGTATTTAACAGAGTCATGAGATTTATTTGCTTCTGATTTTAGAGAGAATATGTTGATTTTTCCCATTTAGTATGATACTGGCAGTCAGTTTGTCCTAAATAGGCTTTTATGTTTGAGGTAAAAACCTTCTATACCTATTTTCTTCAGGAGTTTTATCATAAATTAATACTGGATTTTGGGGAAAGACTTTTTCTGCATCTATTGAGATGATGGTATGATTTTTTTAATCCTTTGGTTATGTGTGGTGTATTACATTGACTGATGTGTGTATGTTGAATGATCCTTGCATCCCTGCATGAAGCCAACTTGAGTCATGATATATGAGCTTTTTAATGATTTGCTGCATTTTGTTTGTAAATACCTAATTGAGAATTTTTGTGTCTATGTTCATTAAATAAATTAGCCTGTAGTTTTCTTTTTTTGTTAGATCTTTGTCTGATTTTGGTAGCAGGATAATACTAGCTTTAAGGAATGAGTTTGCTAGTGTTTTTCCTTTTCAGTTACTGAGAAGAGTCTGAGGAGTATTAGCATTAGTTCTTCTCTTAAGTTCTGGTAAACTGGGTGTAGTTATAAATATGTTTTGAAGAGAACTTTCTAAAATGATTAGCCATACCTGACAGATGTACTCTTGAGTAGCCTTCTGGACTAAAATATTAAAATACTGTCTTTTTTACTTGCTTTGAAAGTATATAACTCAGTTGTCAAAATAAACTCTTCTGTTTCATAGGTAGTCTCATTTTTTGGCTACCCATCTCATAGTTCTCTTAATTTTATATTGCCCATTCTTGATTTTTCTTTTATATTTACTATTTCTTCTCAAATTTAATGACACTTTTTTTTTTTTTTTTTTTTAGTTTCTTTGTCTCCCTTAGATTATTAGTGCCACTGCCTTATATTTGGCCTCTACACTGGTTGTCCTAAATGAGACTTGGTAATTTGAATTGGTTTAGCAAGGTAATGTGAATTGAATTAAAAAATTGGCCAAAAAATTAATAGGCAGCTGAGCTTTCCAAGGGAAAGTAATTATGGGCAGTAAGTTTACAAATTTAAATTAAGTCAAAAAGAAACCCATTTTTAGGAATAATTATAATAGGCAATAAAAGTAAGCATTATGTGGATTCAAATATAGATGTTACATGGCAAAAATGTTTTTCTTCAGTTTGAGATTTACAAGTATTTAATCAGATTAAGTGATTAATCTTGATTGATCTTATTTTCACCAATCATTCTGCTTTCTTAGTTTTTATGAATCACCATGATTTTTTTTTTCTTGGACAAATGTGAAACTTAAAGACAATAGGAACAAATTAATCCACAAGTGTATTTGAGAATACTAAAATTAATATTTAAATGTATTTTAAAATATAAACCTATGTGGATATTCACTGTAACATTATTGAGCAAAACAAATTAAAAGTAATGCTGGAAAATACATATTATGTTGAAAAGTTTGTGAGAAACAATAGAAAAAATGAAGTTTGGCCTATGAAATCAGACTTTGAATCTTGGCTGTATTCTTTTGTAGCTTTGATACCTTGAAAATATCCTTAAACTTCTCAACTTCAGTTTCCTAATTCTCAAAATGTAGTTTATACTATTCCTGTTGTGAATCCTTAACTGAAATATCTGAAACTTTTAACATGTATTTTATTCAGTGAATGTTAGAATAAAAAGTAATATGCTTTTCCATGATAATAAGTATATCAAAACTTTTATAGAAAAATGTAAAACAAGTTGTCAATGCAAGAAGCCATTTACAAAATTTTATGTATAGCATGATCCATCACAAAGTTAGATGAAGAAAACAGCATATCTTGTGAAAATTCTAAGATTGCCTTCATTATGATAGGACTGTCTGTGTTTTTGTACAAAATTATTTTTTTGGTAAATAACTGCATTTATAAATTCTGTCAGCAAGATAAGCTACTTTATATACACATTGATTTTTCAGTCTTATCCCTCAGCTGTAAGATTGACTGAGCTGCAAAAATAGTTCATATTCAGTGTGCCAAAATAACTAAGCAGTTGGGAGGTAAATCAAATAAAAAGGAACAAATGTATCTCTAGAATTAAACTCATTTTCTGATAGCGCTTTCTCATTGTTTGGTGATGATACGGTGATATTGATACCCTTCGTGTTGAGGAATCATGTCCTAAGCATTGTCAAAGGCATTTTAAATAAATTTAACTTTCACAGGATCTCATTAGATTAATTTAATTCACATAGTAATCATTGTGTTTCCTATTTTATTGATGAAAACTGAGATCAGGGGTTTCAAAATTTGCCCAGGGTTGAAGGCAAATTGATAGCAGATTGAGCATTCTAATATAGTCAGTGTGGATCCAGAGTCGAGTCTTGGATTGCCCTAATTAGTAGTGATGCGTTTCATGCCATGAAATCTTAAACATGTTGTAACTTTTTGTGTTTACCTCAGCTCAACAGACAGCCAGCTAAAACTGTGGAATGTGGGAAAGCCATACTGTCTACGTTCTTTTAAGGGTCATATCAATGAAAAAAACTTTGTAGGCCTTGCTTCCAATGGAGATTATATAGCTTGTGGTAAGCAAAACCAACTTGTAAAGGGACTTTTTAACAGATACCTCACTGCATTTGAATTCTGTAAAGAAATCTGTGTATTCTGTGAAGAAGGTAATATAGCGATAGATAGCACTTTGAATTTATCCTCGGATTGTACTGAAAAAGAATTAGTCTTTGCCTCTTTTTTAAAAATTGAGCATAATGAGCCCTAAATACCTGTAAGATTTCTAGCTATGTCTTGTTTATTCTGTTACAGAATAGTTTCTATAGGTTTATGTAGAAGATAGAAGAACTATTATTTGCAGATAGCATGCCAAGAAAATTATTTTTTTAAGTTTTATACTGATTTCCCCCTATTTAGTTTTGTCTTCATTAAGCAATCTGGGTAGCATTGATCTGTTATTCTAGGGCTTTTATCGTTGGTAACTTATACAAAAAAAAAAAATTTTTTTTTTTTTTTTTTTTTTTTTTTTTGGTACCGGGGATTGAACTTGCAATCTTGTACTTGCCCGGCAGGTGCTTATGCTGCTGAGCTAAATCCCCAGCCACAAGGTTATTAATCTTTTTTTTTTTTTTCTGGTACTGGGGATCAAACTCATGACCGCGCACTTGGTTGCACACTTACGCCACTGAGCTAAATCCCTGGCCCTATATAATTTCAAATTAAAAGTTAAGATTTGATATTGTTCAAATGTTTTAAGATATTTAGTGAACTTTTGTCAATACTGTTAAATAACTTGACTTTCATTTAATAAATTGTATTATTTCCACATGTGTGAATTTAAACACTACAGAAGTAAATATCTATCACAATTGTCCTGTCTTCATAGACTGCTCAGAAATACAGGTTTATAGACCACTCAACTAATAGAATAAAGCTTTAATTGGGAAATGGAAAATAAATAGTATAGGTTGTGCAAGTCTGCCTTTCTAAGTACTGCACTACAATTTTCAGTTTCTTCTCTACATGGCGATCTTTCTAGTATAATTCAGGATTATTATAACTAATTTCTATGTTATGTAGACCTCTTTTTCAACTTTATATGACAAGTTCAGCCTTAGAATTACCAATATTAGCCAGATGTGTTGTGGTGCATGCTTGTAATCCCAGCACTTGAGAGGCTGAGGCAGGAAGATCATCATGAGTTCGAGATTAGTCTGGGCTACAAAGTGGCCTCAAGGCTAGATTGAACTGCATAGTGAGACCCTGTCTCAAAGACTAAAAAAAAAAAAAAAAAATCAATATTGTTGCATCATTTTAAACAAGTGCTAGAGCACTGAGCTACATCCCCAGTCCTGATTGTTTCTTTAGTAAGTCAGAGCCTTTATCCAAGAATCCTTTACTCACCTGGTATCATTAGGCCTATGATCTAGCTTTTCAAACAAGATCATAAAGTATTTTTAGTTTTCTTAGCTAAAACTTTGGATTATAATTTGTATTTGGGTGATTCTTTAATCTGAAGCTCCCCCATTTTCTAAAGTATTTTTATGATTTATTTTTAGGAAGTGAGAACAACTCCCTCTACCTGTATTACAAAGGACTTTCTAAGACTTTGTTAACTTTTAAGTTTGATACAGTCAAAAGTGTTCTGGATAAAGACCGAAAAGAAGATGATACAAATGAATTTGTCAGTGCTGTGTGCTGGAGGGCACTACCAGATGGGGTAAGTTTTCATGTTTCGTTTTGTTTTGTTTTTTCCTTTTTTCTTATTATTTAATGTATTGCTTTATGTATATACAGAGTTCTTAAGTTTTTTAAATATATTGTATATATTTGAGAGGAACTTAAATTTTGTATTGTCAAAGAAAACTGGGGTTTTAGATAGCAATTGAAATACCACTAATGCAGCAGTGTTATGCCAACATGTTGTTCCTTCTATGTACCCGGAAGACCTTGTACATACCTCCATTACAAATACTATCTCCGTGTCTCTCCTGTAAGACTGCAATTCTGTCACTGTGTGTACTATGTGTCGTTTTCCTTAATCCATTGCAGTATGCACTTAAAAAGCACTCAGCTGAAGTTATATTTTAATAAGCAAAACAAGCCCAGAGTGATGGTGCACACATTCTGAAGACTGAGGCAGAAGGATCACTGTAAGTTCAAAGCCAGCCTTGGCTACATAGTGAGACCCTGTCTCAAATAAAAAAAGAAAAAGGCAGAACATTTAATGTAGGTAATTAGGTAACTAAGAATGGCCCAGATGGGTGCCTAGTTAAATACTATTTCAGAATGAAATTGTGCTTTATAAATGCACTTATGTACAATTACTGAAACATACTCAATTTCTTGACACTACTGGTTTGATAAAAACTCCCTTGTTCATTTTAAAGTGTAGTTTTCCACAATATATGATTTAATACTTCTTTTTACTATCTTGACTTATGTAAACAGTCATTTAGTAGCATTATCTTTTGAAAAATAGATCTTTAGGTACTTAATTGGTAGTTGGTTTTCCTGTGCTGCTGGATATGGATCCCATGGCCTTGCATATTCTAAGGGTAATTTGTACCACCAGGTTACAGCCCAGTCCCTAGTTTTATTTTTGATGCAAAATTATGACTTGAGGGCTGGGGATTTAGCTCAGCGGCTCAAGCATTTGCCTGGCAAGTGTTGAGGTCATGAGTTCGATCCATAGTACCAAAAAATAAAAAGCCAAAAGAAAAGAAATCAAAATTGTGACTTGATGTGTAATGTAAAATATCTGAGTTCCAGATATAGTTTAAGTTTAGTATTTTCCTTTGCCATCTTGCTTAAAATTGTATGACTCAATTCCCAGTTTTAGTAGCGACATACTAGGTAGAGTTTTAAAAGTTGGACTAAATACATGAGGTGCTACATACATAATAGTATTTTAATCAATGATGGACCACTTATACGTCAGTGGGCCTGAAAATTTCTTAAAATCAAAGCAAGGGGAAAGAAAAGTGAGAGGATGAAGAAACCCAAAGAAATTTACAGTGAAGAATGAAAAAGTGTTTATGGATCTCAACAATTTCCTTAAAAAGTTTGAAAATGCAAATCTTACCACTGAAAAGTTGTCATTAATAGAGAAAAGTGTGCATTATCTCTTTATAAGGAAGTCTGTGATGAATAAAGGATCAAACCAAAAATTCTTCCATGAACATATTTCTGAAAAGGGTGGAAACTCTTCAAGAAGAGGCTCAGGCAGGTCCTTCAGGAGAGATCCCAGAAGAAAACATTGTTAGCATAGGTAGTGACAACTTCTGGTGTGTTATTTCTAGAACTTGCGGTGATACAGAGGTGGAAGACGTTGATATTGATGATATATAGATGTGTAGACTTAGGTTCTTATGTGTATTTGTCTCTAAGTTCTTAACAAGAAAGTTTAAAAAGTAAAAAATGAAAAATAGGAATAGATTTCTAGATAAGGATATTAAAATATTTATGTGCAGTTGTATAAATTTGCAGTTTGTTACTACAAGAATTAAACAATTTGAAAATACTGAGTTACAAAGTAAAAAGTAAATAAAGTTACATAGCAAATGTTAGTTTGTTACTGAAGAAAAAGTTATAAATCTAGTATTACCTAAATGTATAGGTTTCACAAAGTCCATTGCATTATTCACTCACCATTCACTCATTAACTTACTAAGAATAAATTTCAGTCCTGCAAGCTCTTTCATGGTAATTGCACTGTGTGGGTCTACCTTTTTTTAAAATCAGTTTTTATACTGATTTTGCTGTACCCTTCTGTATTTAGATATGTTTTGCTGTGTGTGTGTGTGTGTGTGTGTGTGTGTGTGTGTATGTATACCATTAGTTACAGTTGCCTGCAGTATTCGGTACAGTGACATGCTATAAGGTTTGGACCCCTAGGAGCAACAGACTGACTACACCAAATAATCTAGCTGTGTAGTACTGATTGTACCATCTAGGTCTCTTAAGTATACATTATAATGCTGTCACAAGGACAAAACTGCCTAATGACATATTCCTCACTCTGTAATTATACTGTTATATGACTTGTAACTGCATTTAAAACAAAAATTTATCTGAAGGTAAGGAAAATGATGTAGGGAAGAATCAATGGACTAAAAATATGAGCCTGATTTTGTCTCTACTTTTCCCGTAAGAGCTGTGATTTTAGTGCTGAAAGCACTTAAGGTACCTTCACAGGGGTACAGAAATTGGAACCAGTGTATATCACTGAGTAATTGACTAACATTATTTTTTTTTTAATTTTATTTTGAAAGCATACAACAGAACAAGACAGAATAAAGCCAACTAAGATCGTACAGTGAAATTAGTATAGAACTTCACAGCAGGTTATTGGGATAACAGTAATAGGTATCACAGTATATTTTGTTATCTTTATAATAGTTGTTCTTTCTATCACATATATCATATATTGAGATGAAATATAGAACACTATAGAATTTATCAAAACAGAATATTGAGTAGAGCAGTACCATTAATCAGAAAAGAGCAAAACAGTAATAAAAATATTTGCCTTCAAAGAGATGGTAGAAGGAAGTCCCCCTTATTTGCTATAGTCAACCTCCCAGGAGATGCTCAGATTTCTGGTTCCCATTTGCTAATGGGCTGTGGGGGGGTTGGGGAGGAAGTGGGTAGGGGAAGTGGGATCTTTGACTCTAGGCCGTGCATCAGGAGGTTCACTATTGGTTAGCAGGGAGGCAGGCTGGTTGTTTGGTTTCACAGCATCCTAAATTCCAACATAGTGTGGATCTCAGTAGCTGCTGCTGGTTCTCCCCCTGGAGGGGCCGCAGTCTGCCAGACTACCACCGTTTACCAGGGAGGGGAGGTGCTTGCTTGGCTTCCCAGTGTCTTAAGTTCCAACATGGATCTCAGGAGCTGCTGCTGGTTGACTAACATTATTTTAGATGCCTAAAGGTATATAGTCTAGGGCAAACTAGTAGAAGATAAGTTTTCATGTTTATTCCAGTTCGGTTTCATAACAAATCCTGAATTGAATAGAGGTAATCCTGGATTGTGTCCACAGGATGCAAAATTAAATCCTCTTACAAAGAAAATAGCATCATTTTTAAATTTATTTTTGTAAATTTGCAAATTTAGTAACTACAGCATAATACAGTCTGAATAAAAACCACCATAACAACAAACAATTAGCATCACTAGATATAATTTTCCAGACATAGCTTGAAATTAGCATGCTTTTATGATGAAAAACAAGATTGAAAATTTTGTCTGGGAACTGGAAACTTTTAAAAATGAAAACACTGGAGCTAAAAAAAAATATTACCAAAATGTACAACTCACTGGATATTTGAATGGAAAACAAAACATATAAAAGAATGAAGTGGTGGATAAATTAGGAAATATTTAGAAAGAAACACAGAGACAAAAATGATAAAATAACAATACAGAAAAGAGAGAGAATCAAGAGTATTATGATGTGCATTCAACTGAAGATCTAAAAGAAAAGAGAAATAATCAGGAGCAAAAAATAGAAGGGGTTGTTGTTGAGAACTTTACAGAGTTGATGAAAGACATCAATGCAGAGTTTCAGCCCTTTAACTACAGAGTATGAATGACTTGAAACATGCAATGTGAGTAAAAGTTTAACATCAACTCTGGACCTTGAATAGACCTATCCTGCTTTGGGTCTGCCTTCTCATAAGTAGAATGTATTGAGACAAATACAGAATAGTATGTGCTAGCTACTGGTTATCTCTAAAGTTTGCTGTAAAACCCCACTGATAGTTTTGCATCTGAACTGGGAGAAGTGTGACTTTGCATAGTGGTTTTTTGTCTATGCCAGTTGAACAATGTGAATGTGACTGAAAAGCACTGTTTTGAAGTAAACCAAAAGTACCTCCTCTGCTTCTGGCAATAGCACATCTTTTCCTTGCAGATGGGGGAGAGGGCCAACATTTGATATGAATGATTGCTTGACCTTCGGTTCAGTTTGAAGATACTATGTAGGCTGAATTTCCTATTCTATATTGTTTTACAAAGCTAAGTGAGTGCTAAATAAAAGCCCTTGCTTGTGGTAGGATTTTGAAACCTTGGCACAAGGTAAACCTGCTAAAACTAAAGGAAATAAAAGAGGGGTCTTTTCCCCTTTAAATCATGTTTCTTTATATTTTTTACTATAAGACAGTGTGATCTCTTTATATATGTATATATTATGAAATGATAAAATCAAACCAGCTAATTTGACCATCGCCTAGCAAAATTTGGGGGTTTTTCCCCCCCAATTGGAAACATTTAAACTCTTAAAATTCTTGAAATGTATTATTATTACTAACTGGAGTCAATGTGCTATACAGTAAATCTCAAAAATGTATTTCTTCTGTCTGTACTAAATTTTGTGCCCTTTGATCATCTACCTTTCCCAGCCTCTTACAGCTACCATTCTCCTTTCTACTTAGTATTTGTCTATGTGTCTTATTTCACTTAGCATACCTTTCTTTAGTTTTATCACTATCACTGCAAATGACAGAATTGTATCCTTTTTTATAGCTGAATAGTATACTGAGTATATGTGTATATTCATTTTCTTCATCCTCTGAAATGCTTATGGATACATAAGTTGATTCTACATCTTAACTATGTGAATATTGATGCAGTAAACACCAAATGCAGGTGTCTCTTCAATACACTGATTCTGGTACTTTTGGATATGTACCCCTAAGTGAGGTTACTAGATCATGTGGTAGTTTTGCATTTAGGTTTTCATAAACCTCCAAATTATTTACCATAATGATTTACATTCCCATCAACAGTGTTAACAAGGGTATTCTTTTCTTCACATCTTCACCAATGCTTACTTTTATCTTTTTTTTTAGTGATTGAAATTCCAACAACTGTGACACAGTATCTCTTTGAGGCTTCATTTGCATTTCCCTCATGATCACTAGGGATGAGGTGGTTGGGTTCGTTTCCCTCCCCCTCCTCCCTAAATGCCTGTTGGTATTATGTTTCCCTTGAGAAATAAGTTACTCAGGTCTTCTGCTCATTTTTTAAACTGGATTCTTTCCTTTTTATTAAGTTGAGTTCCTGACATATTTTAGCTAAACATATGTTGCAAATATTTTCTAATAATTCATAGATTCGCTCACTCCTATTTCCTAGTTATACAGAAACCTTTTCATTTGTTGCAGTTCCATTTGTGTATTTTGTTGTTGTTGTTGTTGCCTCTATTCTTGAAAGTATCCAAAAAAAAAAAATCATTGCCAAGACCAGAACTGTGAAATTTTTTTACTGTTTTCTTCTTATGATTTATAGTTTCAGTCTGTTTTTAAGTCTAACATATTTTGAGTTGATTTTTGTATGTTGTAGATCCTTATATGATTCTGGTTTCATTCTTTTGCTTGTGGATATTCTATTTCTGTAATTCTTGAAGAGTGACTTCTCCCAAAGAAATTCTTAAAAGAAGACGGAAAATAATTGTTCATTAGACTGATAGAAAGCTATTCAGTGAGATTATGGAAGCAGGAAGGCACTGGAATTAGACACTCAATGTAAAGCAAAATACCTACCAACCTAGAATTCTACATCTAGTAAAAACCTCTGAAGACAAAGATTAAATATAAACACATTTTTAGATAAATTGGAAGAATTTGTTGTCAGACCTATACTAGAATGTTTTAAAGGATATTCTTGGAGCAGAAGGAAAAAGATCTCAGTTAAGATCACATCATCTGTACTAACATTACTTTGAGTTTGGAATTAAGAAACAGTGATTATGTATGATCCATATTGATGGACCATTTGTGGCAAGACGCTTATTTGAGACCACTAGAATAAACAGAAAGTGTTTAAGTATACAAATGAGTATTTTTGTTTCAAAATGAGCATGTCCAGGAACACTGGATTTGGGGTTTGGGAGGGTAGGTTGAGGAAACCCACATTTTTGTCATCTCTCAAATATACACGATATATACTTATCACCAATTCAAAGTGGATAACTGATGTAAAAGAATACTTGTAAAGATAGGGCCGAGGATATAGCTCAGTGGTGCAGTGCCTACCTGGTAAGCCCAAGGTCCTGAGTTCGATTCCTAGTACCAGGAAAAAAAAAAATTCTTGTGAAACTCCCCAGCTCTTCACAGCTGGTCAAAATCCTTACAAAAAGCATTGTTCCCTAAGGGAAACATTTCCTAGTATGACTTGACATGTCAGGAGTCATAAGTTTCTATTGTTCTAGAGTAAGGGTGGTCAAGATAACAATTTCCCTAATTTTTCTCCTCTCAAACCAAGTACTATAAAACTTGACTTGCAAACCAGTCAATGTTTTTATCATTCATTTTATGCAAAGTTATATCTTCCTTGAGCAAAAACACCTTTTTTATTCATATGGTGAGACTTATTCTTCTGATGAATTAAACTGTTACATAGCAAAGCATTTATTGAATGTTTAAATAAAAGTTTGTGTTCTTAAGCATATCTTCATTGTTTTTACCTAAATATCTCGCATTACTGTCCGTTAGTGTTATCTGTACGTGTACACTGCTATTTGGGTCTTCAGCTAAACTGCAGAATCCTTGGGAAAAGGCACCATAGTGTTTTGAATCAGGTTAGAGGCTCTGGAGCCAGGCCACCTGATTCAAATCTCAGATTCTCTCTTAACCCACTCAGCAACTTTTTTAAAAGTCCTTAACCACACTGTGTATCAGTATACTCATCTGTAAAGTGCTGGTGGTGATAACAGCAGGGTTGTCAAGATGTTAAAATAAGATAACATGCATAACGTGTTTAGAGCATTTTCTGGCACATGGTAAGCTAAATAACTGTTTCTATTAACATCATTTACTTTTAAAGTAACCCTATCTTGCACAGCTTGGGAACATACATTGTGAAATTAATTTCTAATTTGTGAATGAATTAAACCACCTTTCATACTTGGCCTTTATCTTCTTTGTTTCCTGATTAATTAAATAGTAATTAATTGAAACCATACAACTAATAGGTAGAACATACTCCTCATAACTTAGGCTTACTTGAAGCTCTGTGATAACGTAAAGTTGCATCAATTTTTAGAAAATGAATTTCCTAACATGAACTATTACTTACATAGTTATTTCAGAATTACGATTTTCCCTTTGAGATATAATTTCCAACCTATTTTTAAAATATTTACATGGGAGAGTTTACATTTTTTTATTGCTTTAACATTTTTGTTAGATTTATAGCATATTCCACTTCTCCTTAGTTTGTCACAATTATTTTTGTCCTCCCTCAAAAAAAAACATTAATTTTTCCAGTTCATGTTTCACCTAAAATACACGCGTCCTTCTTTGGCTTCTTAGTGAACATATCTTGAAGAAAGCATCAGGATCCCTAATTAGGGAAGTAAAGTGCATTTTAGAAGACTTGTAGTGCCACAAGCAGCACACTTCCATACAGACTATGTGTGTGTATGAGTAGTTCTCAAACTGACCTAACCGCCTAGGGATCTTTCAAAACCAGTGACAAAACATGTCTGTTTTTTGATCCATGAATACCTAATTCTGGGACCAAAAAAGGACTGTAAAAATCTATACTTTGAAAAGTTTCCATATCTCTTTGGGAAATTATGTGAACAATCTAGTTTCAGAACAGATGAATCACACCACCACAGGGACAAGGTTTTGTTATACATAGCAACCCAGAGACTTAAATGGTGTGCCAGCATCTGCTAAAGAGAATAATTGTAATTTTAAATACCTAATATCTGTTAAATTCTGATATTCCCTTACCCACTTAAATAATAAAAAGAGTAGCGTGAACTTTTTTTGGTCACTTTTAAAAGTGCTGCCCCTCAGAAAACGTAAGTAGAGCAACAGACAGGTCTTTGTTCCTGTGAAATTTTTCTGAATCCTGCACTGCAGCTCCCCCTCACACTGATTGAGGAGTCTAAGAAGTTGAAAGAAACACTAGTCATAATTTTGCACATTATGAATAGCTAAAATCTGATGCAAATATTTCCTGATCATAAGAGAATATTTGACTTTTATTCAGAAATGATCACTACTTCATTTGCCGCCCTCTGTCATGTTTATATTATCTAGATAAGGAATTCAGTGGATTACAGTGGTTAACTTCCTATTGATTTTAAACATTTGCCAAATATTACAAACGCCTGTGGTCATATTATTATGTCATCACCAGAATCCCCTGGCTATTTCTCTTCTGATCTATCAACTTCCCCCATGTCTTTAGAGACAAGTTCCTATACAGTAATAGTTTAAAGACTTTGTATTCCTGAGGTTATTTTTTACTATGCCATTGTACTTGGTTTGATATGTTTATTTCTAGTTAATAGAATATATAATGAGATGATAACTTTGCTCAACACTGAGAGTAACTAGTGAGAAAAATAGTGAATAAACCAGAAAACAGTGCTAACATAGAAATACTGCAAGAACATCATGAATCATTATTTGAGTTTATTGCATTTCTGGGCTTCATAATCAAGGTAGACTCACACTGTCCAAATGAGCAACATCCCCAGGGTGCAGAGCATGATCATTATATAAATCTGAAAATTTGTATGAAATAGTCCACGTGTGTAAAGATGATATGAAATGATGTCAGTGATTTAGGATGCTAAGTACAACAAAAGTTAGTGGCTGAAGGTTCTTAAAACTGACAAAGGAGAGTGGTACTAATATGTAGAAAATGTGAATGCTACATTAATTTCTGATTTACTTAGAGTGACCCAAACCATAAAAGGATTTTGGATATATAGAGGGATATGTTTGGATCTACTTATATTTTTATTCCTATCTCTGCATATTAACTTTATTCATTTTATCACTCAACTGGTTTATGAATAATTGTACCTAAAATTTCTTTCAAATGTTCCCCCTAAAATATGTTGATTTCCTGCACTTAACAAGGAATTCTTATCTTAGATTCTTCTGTGAGCAGATAGTAAACAAGAGGAACTTCTCTTTATTTCTTCTCCCTTTTCTTCAACTCTGTTTCTCTTCTTCCTTTTATCTTTGCTCTCCTCTCTTATTTCCTCTAGCTGGATGGTTTATAACACTTTAGAAAATTTTCCTGACTTGGAAGAGGGCCAGTCTGAAAGAAACCTTATCTGTCTTGGGAATGGAAGGAAAGAAGATTCTGGGAGCGGACCTGACTTCCAGGAAGACCATGGCTCCCATCTCGTCCTCAGAGCCTCTCTTCCCTAGTGTGGAGATAGAGAAGGCCATGGGATAACAAAAGAGAGATGAGTGGGTGTGGGAAACTGAGGCAACTCTATTAGTTCTCTTTTTTCCTCTAAGTACTTTACATGAAGTATAAATTTTCCTCCTCTTAGATTCCACTACTATGTGGGCAGCCTTTGGGAAACCATTTGTTGTATAAGACATTTGAATGTTACAGTGAACTCCAGAAAATATGATTTGTGAAACCTGCTACTTGAAATCTTAAATATTTCATTGTCATATTTACTGTAAGAGAATTTGGTATCTAAGTGGTTCTTATAAGTGGTTTTTCGAACCTCTTTAAAAATAGTGTTTGTTGTATGAATGTCAATTTTGAAGCATAAATTGACACACGTTTAAGCTATCTACCTGCTTTTTTGTTTTCAGTTCTGCTTTTTGAGGAAAATAAACATTAATTTGGGAGTATATTCTGAATTATGTCATTAATCTATAAATAGTCTGCTTTATTACATGCTTAAAAATGTCCAGAATATTTTGAAGTAGGAAGGGATGGTTTCTGTGTCTTTTGATAGTTTCTACCAAATTTCCATAACAGTATTGAAAGGAAGGAAAGTGAATATTGGATATTATTTCCTTTTGCTTAAAAGCGCCTAGCAAATGTACTTGAATTGGTTGAATGCTAAAGTGCACATAATGGAAAAACATGATTTTTTTCCTAACTGAACAAAAATGTATAATAAATAAAGTGGAATTAGTAAAGCATAAATCTTTTCACTTGCAGAGTGAATGACAGCTTAAGGAGAAAATTGGTTTTGGCTAATTCAAACACATGTATTTGGTCTTTTATATAGTCTCACATTCTTTGTTCTCATGACCCTGTGCTGTACTGATATGACATCAAAATGTGAAGTTTTAAAGAGTGAATAGATCCATAGAAAGATGATTTCCCTCACTCCCTTTACTGGTGTATTTCTAATGATGAAGGTCAATTTTTTTTTCATCTGGTGATATCAATATTTGCACTTCATTTATGTAGTTTTATTATATTTATTATTTAAATTGTGTATTAGAGTCAAAACAAATCAAAATAACAAATTTCCTTCTCAGCTTATGTATGTTGTGTTGTGTTGTGTTGTGTTGTGTTGTGTGGTGTTACTCAGTAACTGAAAGCAGAAGCTGTTCTACAGAGGAACCCTCTAAATGCAATTACATTGTTCAGGAGATTCTTTATCCATCATTTGTGCTTGAGGATGTTACATTTTCCCACATTATGGAGACCTTTCAGAAAGAGAAGAATAGGAAAGATTGATTTGTAGTTTTACTAGTTGAACAAAACTAAAATTGATACTGGGATATTTGTGCTCCCAGTCTTTTTGGTACTGGGGATCAAACTCATGACCTCGTGCTTGCCAGGCAGGTGCTTATGCCGCTGAGCTAGATCCCTGGCTCTGTGCTCCCAATCTTTTGCCAAGAATTTAAAGAATAGTCTTACAGAATAGATGTAGTTTCTGTGTCTAGCTTTTTACATCTAACTGTAGCATATTTTTACTCTATGTTATAATGTCAGTCACAGACATTTAGATATACACAGGGTTCTTCAACTTATGATGGTTTAACTTGCAATTCTGTAACTTTACAATCCTGTAATAGGTTATGTCCATTCAGTAAAGCCGTACTTCAAAGTCTCTTTGTCTTTTTTTTTTTTTTTTTCTTTTCCTGGACAAGTAGTATATAATATAATACTTTTTGTGGTATTGAACAGTGGCAGAGAGCAACAGCTCAGTCAGCCATGCCGTCACAAAGGTGATCAGCCTGCACTCTACAGTGTACTGTATTGTAAACTGTGATGTTAAGTCTGGTATGGATAATAAATGTGTTTTCAGTTGATGCCATAAAGTTGAGGAGTACATTTGTTATTAGTCATTTAGCCTGCTTCTGATTTTTCTAAGTTTCAAAAACTATTGCTTTTTCCTTTTTATCTTACAATGTAATACTGTAAAATAAAATTCTAAGGTACATGGAGATGAGAGAGAGCTAGATCAAAGGTTCCAAAATGGTTTCTTGAGCTCTTGATACATACTGTTTTGATTTACAAAAAATAAAAAATGAACTTCCTTTTTCTGCTAACTGTGCTGACTGTAGAAGAGTAAGGAGAAAAGGTGAAATAAAGAGATAGAATCTATATGTATCGATTTATATTTGCATGTAGTTTGTATTTTGGGATCAGATCTCTGGATATAGCCCCAGTTCTTTCATTCTCTGTGAATCTTTTGGAAAACGTCTTACCCTCTTTGAATTTATTTTCTTGTTTCTAAAGGAATGTATTAGTAAATACCTCAGAGAGTTATTAGGAAGTAATTGAGATCATGCATGTCAAAAGATGTACATAGTGAGTTTTCATTAAATGGTTGTTCCTGCTGGTAATCAGTTGATGTGTAAGAACTGGGAAATTAATGTTTTAGTATCCATCCTGTTCTCATCCTTCTTAGGATTTCAAGTTATTCAGTGTGCAGAGACTTAAGAATGTGAAAAAAAGTACATTGTGAGCCTGCTTAAATGTGAATAGCCTGGTGAGAGTGAAAGCTGGAAATAGATTACAGAGAGACATTTTAAAAATCATTCTTGACCTTGCTGGAACCTTATCTGTGCAATTCTGAAGACCTCTAAGTAGAAAAACTCACATGAAGTTTAAATTTGTGATTTTTAAATTTTTTTTTATTTTAAAGAGAATAAAACAAAAAATGGAACAAAGCAAATCAGAACAAAACAATGTTAGCAACACAGAACTTCAAAGCAAGGTAACAGGATATCAACAGTGGCTACCATAATGTCTCTTGTTTTCTTTGAAATAGTTGACCATACCTTCACACATAACAATATCAGACATAACAAAATAGTATAAAACTAGTCAAAAGTATGAAAGCATTATAGGACTTTAAAACCAGATAACAGCAAATGAACAATAGAATGCTATCAAAATTGCATAGGAAAGACTGCAGAAGGTTGGGCCTGCTTCCAGAGTTTTACTTTGAATTTCAGTCTTAAAAATTGAAATGCTTCAGGTTAAATTGACAGGATCTACTGAAAAACCGGAATGACCACTCAAGGTTTATAGTAATTAATAGCTTTTTTGATTTATAATCTTAACATGTCTGGTTCTCATCTGCCTTTTCTCATGCATGCTAGATTTTTGGTGCCCAGTGGCCACCTGTAAGCCCAGTTATGGTTACAGTAAGACTATACTGATGATACTTAGGTCGACTAACAATGAGACCTTGTTTTTCCTCACACATAACAAATTCCCCAAAATGTTGACTGTCTGAGAAACTCTGGGCTACATTACTTCACCTTATTGTAGTGCCTCATCCCTCCAACTATAGAACATTCCTTAACCGAAGGAAAGATTTCCTGTATTAGAGTGGCATTGTCACCTCAGAATAAGAATTTTGATTGTTGATGCAAAAGGCTTCCTAAAGGAAATGTTTGAAGAGAAATTGAATTTTCTTTGACTAATTCCAGAAATTCTTATTAAGCAAATTGCAATAGCTTCTGTGGGCTGCAGCTCTAACATAGAACTATTTTACAAGTAACAGTGAAAAAAAATGTAATTCATTTGTATTAGGACAGTGTTTTGAACCTCTTTCCTTCTCATAGTCTTTGCTGTTTCACTCTAATGTTTGTGCTGCTGCTTTATTTCATGCCTTAACTTTAGTAGCTTTACAGTGTCAGCAAGATTCAGATAGATACTGTACTTGAATTTCTAGTGTATCTTAACTGTATCTTATGTTCCTCTAATGAACTTCTGTTCTAATCAATTAATAGTACAAACAATTATATGATAGAAAAATAAGACAGTGGGTTTTATCTTTTCTAACGTTGCTCTAAAGTTTTGATTGGGCAACTTAACCTATGTGTCAAAAGCACTAATGCTGAACATTCAGGTGTCCAGACTACATAACTAGTCTTTAAATATTTGCGTAAGTTAACCCCTTTCCCCTTTCTCTGTTAATAATTCCAGTACTAAAATGGACAGGATGAGTGTTTTTACACTTGTGATTCATATTAAATCAGTAAATGTGACTGACTAGTTTTCCAGATCCAAACCAGTCATTTGTTTATTAAAATAATAGCAGTTACCTCATTATGGTCGTCTGGGGTTTTGTAATTTGCCTAGTAAAGTTTTATTTTGGGATTTGTGGAAGAACGTTTAAAGCTTTTATTTATTTAGAGGATAAGGTGTTAGTGATTAAAAAGTAGTGTCGCAAATTCTTTTTATAATCTGGCATATTAACCTGATAGGGTTATAAGTAAAGACATACAGTATCAATCTGAGAATTGTAAGTGTTAGTTTTCTGCTCTTCCTTTTATTTAAAGAAAAAAGAAAATGGCAAAACAGAAAAAAAGGTAGAAAATAATACAGAATTTCAAAAAAATTAACACTAAGAAATCACTAGTTGATAAATTACATATTATCCTCTTAGAAATAAATGTTCAAGTTACAAAATCAAAGCATAAAAAGTGGATAGACACTCAAACACTGACAGTGCAAACCATTCTGTTCAATGATTCAATGAAAACTTAGTAATATGACCATCTGTCTTACACACTTTTTTTTTTTTTTTTTTTGGTCTTTTTCGTTTTTATCGGTACCAGGGATCGAACTCACGACTGCCTGCTTTCAAGGCAGGCACTTATGCCACTGAGCTAAACCCCCAGCCCCCTGTCTTACACACTTAAACATACATACAGTTATATCCTTTAGAGTACTTCCCTTGTCTTTCATTTTTACAATATCTATTATACATTTTGGATCTTATTACTCTTTCAGTTTTTTTTGTTCTTTTATTTATTCATTTTTATTTTTTGAGACAGGGTTTTGCTGTGTAATTCACACTGGATTTAAACTCACTATGTAGCCCTGGCTGGTCTTGAACTCTTGGTGGTCCTCCTGTCTCAGCCTACCAAGTGCTAGGATTAGTGTGTATACCAGGCCCAATCATTTTATAATTTAAAAATAAAAGCAAGAGACTCTAATCTTAAGCAAATCACTTTGCTTCTCTAGATGTACTGCTGTACAGGGTTGTTGTAAATTCAAATAAGGTTTTTGGCTGCAAATATTTAATATGTCTGATCATATTCATGAAAGCTACATCTATCATATTGAGGACAGACCTATAGTAGTGAAGAATTTCACATTCATCTTTTAATATATTCTTAAGAGAAAACAACTTCATAAAAATTTGTATTATTCAGACGTGGTAGCAACACATCTGTGATCACAGCACTTGGGATCACCCTAAGTTCAAGGCCAGCCTAGGCTACATAGTGAGGTCAGGGTCAACGGAGTTACATAGCAAGACTCTTGTCTCAAAAAACAAAAAATGAAACAAAACAAAATTGTTTTTATCCACATATCTCACAAATAAAAAGCAAGAATGGCTAAGCAAAACTATAAGTCATCTTTTTTTTCCAACTAAGCATGTTAAATCTGTTTATGAGAAAATGTCTTGAATTGGGCATAGGTATCTCACTTAGCTATATTTTAAAATGCTTTATAGGATTATGCTGAATTACTAATTTTTGCCTTTGAATAAATGCAGAACAAATCTAACTTTTGACATGGGCTTTGTAGAAAGAAACCTTAGAGTAAAATATCTATAATTAGAATAGTGTTAATCATAAGATCTGTTTTGTCTGATAGTAAAACAGCTATTTTGCCTTTTAATGATTATTACGTATGTATTGTCTGCCTTTTAATTTCAGCCTGTTTATGTCTTTGATTATAAAATATATCTCTGAGATACAATGTAAAATTCAGAAAATTTGGTCCAGTATTACTACTTTCCTTCTGCCTATTCTGGCTGCTATTATATGTGACATCCATGAAAAAAAAAAAATACTCATTGATTTTCTCCGTATAGTATTGAAATACCCAACTATAATTGCAACTCTTCTGTTTCTCCTTTGAAATCTGTCAGTTCTCGCTTTTTGAATTTTCAGTACTCTATTTTTATAGATATGTATAATTAAGATTGTCTTATCATCCCAGCGAAATAACTTCTTTATAAGAGATTACTGTTTCTTCTTATCTTTGATGATATTCCTTGATATGAAGTATATCTTTTCCATAATCAATATATCTAGTAGCATCTTCCTTTTGGTTAGTAATCACATATGTTTTTCTCTATGTGCTTATATTTAGCTTTATAATGCGGGGCTAGGGATTTAGCTCAGTGGCATAAGCACCTGCCTTGCAAGCATGTGGTCGTGACTTCAATCCCCGGTACCAATAAAAAAAATTTTTTTAAAGTCTCTTAAAATGAGTGTCTTATAGACTGTGGATCACTACTAGGTCTAGCTCTTTTAACTAATCTGAAAATCTCTTCCTTTTAAATAGTGTATCATTATTGATATTTTGGATTAAACTCTCCTTCATACTTTAACCAATTTTTTTCTATTTTTTGGTTATCTAGATTAAAATGGACATTCATTATGATTATTAACAATAATTTGTATTAATTTATTATTTATCTTTAAATTTTTTAGTGATTATCTTGAGGTTTACAGTATGCTTTTTGGTATAATGTAAATCTGTCTTTAAATATTATATTGCTTTATGCCCAATGTGGTGGCTCATGCCTATAATCCTGGCACTCAGGAGTCTGAGACCAGAGGATCGCTGCAATATGGAGGCTAGCCTAGGCTACAAAGTGAGTTCAAGGCCAGCCTGAACTACATAGTGACACCTTGTCTCAAAAAGACCAAAAAAAAAAAAAAAAAGAAAGAAAGAAAAGTATTATATTGCTTCAAGGATAGTGTAATAACCTTATTACACTATTTTCTAATTCCTTTATGCTGTCCTTTGTACTATTGTTGTCATGTATTTTGCTTTTGCATGTGCTATAACACAGATGTTGCTTATTTTGCTTTAAATATTAATCTTTTAGAGCAATTAAAAATAAAAATGTTATTTTATCTCCACTTTTATTTCTAGTATTCATATGTGTAAACTGATTTTTTTTATCTCATATAGCACACTCCTGCTTATAAATACCTTTGTTTTTCATTTTTAGAGTAGATTCACTAAGAGTGAGTTACCTATTTTAGGTTTTTCTAAGAAAAATCTTTACTTCTCTGTTTTTGAAAGCTATTTTTGTGGTGTTTTGTTTCCTGTGTTTTAAAGTGGTTGCACTATCTTCTTACTGCTTGCATGATTTCTCCTGAGGCATCTGCTGTGCTGTAATTTCTGTTCTTATTCCTCTGTACCTAATGCATACTCCCTCCACCTTTTCCTCCTGCTGCTTCTTTTAAAGACTTTCCTTTGTCTTTGGTCTTTAGCAGCTTCTAAATGATATGCTGAGGTGTGGAGGTTTTATTTTATTTTATTTTCTGGTACTGGGAATTGAACCCAGGGCATCCACACTGATCTACATTTTTATTTTTTTATTTTTGAGACAGCAGAAAATTGTAGTAGAAAACTACTGTTCAATAGTAGATCAGATTTCAAATTTAGTAGTCATTAATTAGAAAGTCATCATTTATAGTAACAGTAATTACAAATGTGAGTTTAATGCCATCCCTCTCCTGTCCATTACTCTTACATTGTGTTTGTGGTTAGTCCTCATATCTAAAATATTATTTACATTTGAGATTTTTCAGCACTCTGACATATTGCTACTTGTCCAACCTCATTTCTGTTTTCTATCACAGACCACCTTATTCCATTAAGAAAACTGTTCCATTCTTCCATTCAATTCCTGCTTCTAAACTTGTATTTGTGTTGTATTTGAAATACAGAAATCCCTATTGCCTTGTTCTCTTACTTGTGCTTATATAAATTGTCATCTTTGCTCCACCCAACTCCTATTGTTTTCTTTTGTCCCACCTCTAAATATTATTTCCTTAGTTTATGGTTTCTCTCCATTACTGATATAGCTGCATAATTTGCTTTACTGGCTCCATTTCAGTGTTCTTCTCTTGTTTGTTGTACTTCAATAGTGTTACCTCATTGCCTTGCTTCCATTTGAGAGTAAAATTACATATGCCAACAGTTACCACTTTAAGAACTACTTAGTTTTCGAGAGACAGAATAGATAAAATTTAAGTCTACTTAATGCGGAGCTCCCATTTTATGTTTCTAATCACTTCCATAAGTTCATAAATATGCTGACCAGAATAGCACTAGATTAATACGACTAATAATACAATACTGCTTGAGATAAAGACATTTAGGTTAGAGGATACTTAGTAAGAACAACTATTATTGATTTTTTGTGTCTGTAATTTGCCAGTAACTTTTTAATAAAGATGCAGTAGGGAAGATTAGATATCTCTTCTTATCCATTGTGGCAAAAACCTATATAACAAGATTAATAAGAGAAAAACCTACAAATTTATTCAATAGAAGTTTCATATAGCATAGAGAAGGCTTCAAAATGAAGGCCTAAAGAAACAGGTAAATTTGGATATTTTTGTGCTTAGAGTTGTTGAAGATGTGAACAAGCATAGAGAGGTATAAAGACCAAAGGAGGTAAAGTGACCATAATAAGCGTATGTTCAAATTTTTCTCTGTGTCCCTGTTTTCAGAAACATGGAAATTCCTTCTCAGTGGACATGGTTAGGCATTTGGAACAAAGGGCTTCTGACCTGCTTCAGAGGAAAGTCAGAGGGTACTTTTATGATCTGTTTCAGAGACTAGGAGAAAATCAGAGAGAACTTCCTGCTTTTGCTATTTCTTCAGATGCCAGTGTACTTTATTTTAACCTCACCAGTGCTTCACTGTATTTTCTTGGAATTTTTATAAAGAGTTTATCAAATACTTAGGTTATCTATTTTGTAGTTAAGAAATTGTCTAAAAGCAATTCTGTAGTAGAACCAAAATACAGATTCAAGTCCCTAAATTTCATTGTTTTCCTACTGTGTTGCATGACATCCCTAAAAAAGCAAAAAAAAAAAAAAACAAAACCCGACAGTTTTAGAAACCCAACTTGTCTGGAAGAAATTTGCAAATAACACTCTTGGAAATGCTCAGAAGCTCTTCCCAATATTCATTAATAGCACAGAATCTTTTTGCCTGTCTCATATGTTCTTATAAGCACATTGTTCTCTACCTCTGTTCAGTTTATCATCCCAGGACATGTGAAGAAAGTTGAAGGTAATAAGAGATAATATTTGAATGGTGTGTTGCAGGGATAATTCAGTCAATTAGGATCTCTGTGAGAAGACTGTGGAACACAAAAGATTAAATATGAAAGTTGTCTTAATTACAAAGTACACCAAAAATGGAAGCTGCGGAAACCAACCATGTAGACAAATGAAAAATTGCCTTTTGTCTACAGATTGCAGCGATCCTACATAAACATGGAGGTCTCTGTCTGACTTAGGACAGCCTGGCTAAGTCTGATCGTTCCCCTCCATACAACTTCTAAAACTGTCACTCTAAGTACTATGTTCTTTGCCATTTTTATTATGTCTGCTCCTTATAAAGGATTGCTTAAAACAATGAACAATCAAATGAAGTTACTTCTATATCCATTTTCTCTTTTTGAGGTATTTTTGGGTTTTTAAGGACAGGTTACTACGGTGATAACCTTGATTCTCAAAGTTAAATCTTTCCACGATTCTGATCACATACTGACTTGGGCAAGAAACAAATCAAATTTCCCCATAAGATCAACATTGAAGCTAGATATTGAGTTTAATTGGGTTCTTGTTCAGTTTGGTTTGTGACCAGCACTGTGGAAAGATTTAAGTTTGTGAACCAAGGTACCACTATATTACTCGATTGCTTTAAGGAACGTAGGGTCAGAAAGTAAAATACAGAAATACTAATTTTGCTAAGGGACCACATCAGTGTAACTACTCCAGAGTTAGTGGGAAAGGTCAATCAATATTTAAGATACAAAAGAGCTAATCAGGGGTAGTATCCATGAATTATGTTCATTAAAAATTAGTAGTGTAAGATGGTGATTTTTTTCCCAAAACACAATTTATGTAATCTTTTATCTGTAACCAAAGTTCACAAATGACCATTTTCAAGAAAAGTTTCTAAGTGTTTACTTCATAGGACTAAATTTGAAATTTTGGTTTTTCAGAGTATGTATACTATTGTAAGTTGAGAATAGGGGAAGGTGAAGAGACTGTAAGTAAGTGGCATTTCTAATGCACTGGGCTGGATATACAGCAGTAAGATACGCTGTAAGCAAGTCCCAGCTGGCTTTATCTATAGCTAACTGTGTAAAGATCTTGATTGTGATTCTGAAATTCCCATATTTCTTACCTGAGTAGTTTTTGCTTCAAATGATTATTGAGTATCCTTGTTTTTCTAGGCCCTTTATAAATTCCTAGTCTACTCCATTCATTTTAGTAAGCCACTTTGAGATTTTCTATGCATTGTGTATTTTTCTCCTAGTACTGAATTCGAAGTTTTGTTTTATCTTTACAAAAGTGTAAAAACTGAAGGTCCCTCACTAAAATAACCTCTGATAACAAATGAGAAATGTAAACACTATATGATTATAATTCAAGAGAAAAATATGACCAAAACTCTCAATTTATGTTTACAGATATATATGAAGAATTATCTTCACAGCTGTCACTTTCTAGACTGTCTCAAAGCCAAAAATTTTAAGTATTTTTCCTTAGTTTTTTAGTTTTGTGCTGCCCCATTTTGAATCTCCTCAATCACATGCCCTTCAGTTCATTCTCACATATAACTAGATGTGTAACTAGATCTCTCTACACTTTCCTGCAAGATCTTATTTGCCCCTCTATCTCCACAAACTCCTCTAAAGTCTAGTGAAAAGAATGTACTCAAACCAGATGTATGAGTACAAAATCCATTTGGTTCTTACGAATAACAAGTCAAGCTAATAATGTCAGTCAGAGACTTTCTTGAAAGTAAAAGCAGGTGAATATTTTGTATACTATCAGTGCTACTGACTACACAACCTACTTTGCTATCCGATTTTGTGGGGTTTTCCTTTCACTCACTTTCTCCCTCACAACATTAACTTCAAACCTCATAATAATATACAATGGCTGTTTACTATATCTCTACTGTTATACTTAAAGATCGAGTGGAACTCTATACTTTTATGGCCAAGGAATTACATAAATCAGATACAATAAGATGGAATTAGTGTAGCTCATCTCATACGTTCACAGGAGATTGGCTCATGAGGGTGCTATGCTCACCAGTGGGTTGATCTGTTAACAGGTTCATGGCTGAAAGTTCTGTTAAGAGATGGGGCCTGATTGGCAGTGGGTCACGGGGCCATCACCTGGATGAATGTGTTCCTGTCCCTAGCTCCTCTCTTCGTTTAATCCCTTGCTACCAGGAGATGAACAGTTTTCCTCCGTCGTGCCCTTCTACCATGCTATTTCTGCCTTGGGACCAACTCATTATGGAGTAAAACAAACTTCTCCTTTACTTGACTTATCTTGGGTATTTTGTCCCAGCAGTGAGAAAGCTAATTAATAGAATAGCTATACCAATTGTTTTAATAGATTGGCACTTGTGCAGGTTAAAAAATTTTGGCATCCATCCCTAATAACAGTTGTATTATACCTGTTCTAATTGTAAACATCAAACTTGAATATCAAGTGAAAAGATTAGTTAACAGGAAACACAGTAGAAGGCAAGGAGAAAATGTGCTACAACCTTGGGATTATGGTAGAGGTAGATTCCTGGCTAATGTAGATCTTCTTCCCTTTTGAGTATGGCTTTGTTTGCACACACATGCAGTGTTTTAAAATGCTATGAGTTTTGTCTATGTTATAAATTATAAATTTTGAATCAGTATCTGAAGTATTAAGTTAGACTTTCAAAATAGTAAAACACAGTAGAACAAGCCCTATAAGAAAACTGTCCTCACTAGACCAACCTTTGTATATATTTATGCTCATTTTTTCCAGAGGGAGCTGTTCGATGGTGCTGATTTTCATATTTTTTTTGGCAGAGACAGATTCCAGAATTTAGAGGACAGGTGTTTTGTGTTTATATTTATGATCATGTTATGCTCTTTTTTTTACCTTTACATTTAAATCTCAAATACATTCATTTCTGCTGTCTAGTTAGTTACTACTATTTTTAAATCTGACAAAGTGTAGGAAATATCCAATACTTTGGATAGCATATTTGCCATAAAATATCTGGCTCACCTTATCTTAGAGCAGTAAGAAATTTTTTCATATGAAATATTTTCGTTGTTCATTCAGAAAGATCTTTACTATAAAGCTTTAAAATTTTGGATTTGAAGATATAATAAGCCATCAAGCTTAAAAGCTATTTTGATTTGATAAGTAGTGTGAATAATTTCCTCCTATTAGATTTGCTTCAAGACCAGATATTTATCAGAACAAATAAAAAGAGTTGTAATAAAAAGTGATACTTTATTAAAACAAGGGTCCATCCTATCAAAAAGTGTAGCTGTACTACTTTATTCATTATTATTTTCATGGTTGAATATTAAAAGGGCTTCATATCATCCTAAGTAAGGTTGTCATTCTTAGCAAGGATATCTAATTGGATCTGAAAAGGAAAATTTAATGGGATGATCTTGAAAGTGTTCCCTTGTGATGAAATCCAATCTCCTGGTTTTCAGATTAGGATTAGGAGGTGAGATAGGGTATTTGACCTATCAGAGCCCTGTATACTGACTGTGGACCTTTCCTACATTTCCTGGTTCTGTGGCCAAGCCCTTTCCACTAGTGATATTACTTGAAATCATACAGTGAGATATATAAAAGGTCTAACTTTGCATATAGTAAGTCTTTTTGAAGTTTAGGTATATGAGATTTAAAATGCATTACTATATAGTATAGGAAAGCTCAGGCTCTCCATATATATTACCTAAGACTGCTTTCTCCTGCCATTCTGACTTTGTAAATTCAGGATGAAGCTCTTAGGAATGTGACAAACTCACTGAATCAGTGATACCAAGCAACATTAATAATTACCAATCTTCGCAAGTTGATTTCTGGCTCTGCTATTCTTTAGCTGTTTAATTTCTATTTATAAATCAAAATAAATTACTAAGTCTCCCTAAGACCATATTTTCTCTTTGCAGATAGTATCTCTCATTGGATAGCCGTGCATTTTAAATGAAGCAATCCATATACAGTTTTGCAAAGTAACTGGCCCGTGGTGCTCAATAAATTAAGTAATAATGATAGATTTTTCTGTACACTTACAGAAAGTAGTAAAATGAGTCAGTTTATTACCTATATTGTAAACACAATTTAGACAACTGATTCGATACTTTACAGACTGGAGGTATAGGGCAAGCTTTAGCCTTTTAGTTTAAGGAACAGGAACCCCTACTGATAGTTTGTGATTTTGTGTTTATTGTTTCTTAGATATATTTACATGTATTTTTACCCAGTTCTGAAAAACTAGATACTGGAAAAAAGGTCAGGGACAAAAAAAAACTATTGAGTTTACAAATGGTATTTATTCAAAACCTGTTGAAGATTCTTCTTGGAAGCTTTGCTTTACCTTTATAAGCTGTTGCATGCTGTCCATGTAAGCATAGATTTATGTCTGTATTAAGGTAAATAAACACTGTTCTCTGAGGGAAAATCTCTTAATCCAATTCAGATACAAGTAAAACATTTAACTTGGATATTCAAAAACCATAGAAACTCAAATCTTTTTAAAAAAATCTTTTTAAGGAAAGAATAACCGCAGGTCAAGAAATAGACTTACTCAACAGGATAGAGCATCACAATATCAGAACATTCTTTGTCTCGTTTGTATTTGAATCAGCATGCCATGAGGTACATAAAGGCGTTAGGATGGACTGAAGGAAATAGAGAGGAATGATGAAATTGGACAATTGAATGGTATTGCTTAAAGCATTGATTGAAAAAAATTCAGAGAGTTCCTGCATATTATACCTGCCTCAAGAAAAAAAGGCCTATTCATAAGACAGCTGTGGACCATGCATAAAAAGAATTGAAAGGGCAGATTGACTTGAAAGTATTTGATGGTTCCAGTATCCTAAATGGATATTGATTTGGCTGAACACAGAGTCTGTGAACTTCTACATGGGAAGAGAAGCCAATTTAAATTTTAGGATGTACAAATACTAACATACTTCTACCTTAACCCACCTTACACAAAGAAAAAAAAAAAAATGAGAGACAAAAGCCCATACTTTTGTTTATAATCTTACAATGAAAAGAACTTAAGACAGGTATGGTCTTTTATTTTCAGTGACCAAATCATCACTTTCTCTTTGGCAATGAAAAAACAAGACATTTGTGTTCAGAAAGAGAACTCGAAATAAATCAAGATGTAGAAAATATTACAGAATTAATAGATATAACGTAAATTTAATTCTTATTATTTGAAGCCTATATACTTTAGTTATATTTACTTAATATTAAATCGAGCCATATTCCTCACTGTTTTGTATCCTCTAGGGACTGTATTTGTAGACATTCTGTGTTACACAGAGTGATTTACCGTTCCTGTTTTAATAAATGCTTTTCTAAGGGATTTAGGTGGATATACAGTTTTAATGTAAATTCAAGGTTTATAAGACACACTGTTCAGTTACATTAATTTTCACTAGCCAAGTTAGCTGTATCTCTTGGTTTTAGAGGATAAATCTAAATAGTACTTCAGTGTACATTTTCCATTTCACTTAGTGTTCTCTCCCTTCAACCTGGAACTCAAGCTTAAAGATCATACCTCTGGGGGTTTACTCCTCCCATCAATAAAATCTTGAAAGAACTCACTTTCCTTATTTTTATGACACAGACCATAAAAGTGGTTTGGGAGAAAATTTTTTAGATCTTTATTTGGCAGATTTTAAGCATCTAAGTGTTGAGAGAGGAGTATCTTAGATTAGTGTTCTGATAAAGAGTGCTGGAGTCAGGTTGCCAGGCTACGTTCAATTTGCCATTGGGCATTAGCTGCAAGGCTCTGAACAAGTCACGTGTGCATCCATTTGTACATCAGTTTCCTCTTCAATGAAATTAGAAAAATTGTATCTTCCACATGGTGTTACAGAATAAAACTAGAAAATACACAGAAAGTATTAAATAGTAGCAAAATAAATGATGTGAATAATGTTGCGTCTTCAACATAACTAGACAGAAGTGTTTGATTTAATTCATCAAATATTCTACAATGTAAAAATATATTTTCATAGGTTATTTATAGGAATACATGGAACATAAGGGCCTCTTAGTAAAGTTTGTCTGTGAGGACTCTTCCTTGTAACATCTTACCTCTGCCGATAAGGTTGTTACCCCCTTGGTGTGGGCAGTGGCTTAGGGTCCCAGAGTAGGAGGACATACCTTCACAAACATCATTTATGATTTGTTTTCAGGCAGAAAGGAAGAAGTTTAGATAGTTGACCTTTGTGTGCCTTTTCTCAGTTGCCGTCTACTCAGATATCCTGGTACCATAGTGATGTATTGGGGTTGATACAGTCTGATTTCCTGCAGCACCGAAGAAAACTAGTCCTATGTCTTCCTTGCATAAAGACATTCACTTCCTCCCTGTTAAACTTAAGTAAAATTCAGGCTCTGGTATGATACAGTTTGTATGCTTAACCCAACTCTTGTTGCCATCTAATTTACACACAAGTTGCTTTCTAGTTCAAGTTTGTCATCCCAGAATTTCTCTTAAAATTCATTGTGTTTACATAATCACATTCCTTTACCAAACATATCCTCCGTCTTTTTTATTGAGAAATTTTAACTTTGTATTTTTCCATATCCTACTTGTGACATTATTTATGAAGCTTTTCTTATCTTTTTTCAAGTTTAAGATGACCCTTTTCTTGCTTCTGTAGTTGCCCCTTTGAACTTACTTCTGTGAGAATGTAATACTACTCTGTTCCCCTGCGGGTCTGTAATCTCAAGATCAAACTGCCGTACTCTTTAAAATTCAGTACCCAATGTCGTATCTACTATGTAATTGTCTACCCTCATGATGGTGACTATATGGATGTTGATGAATAAATAAAATGTATTTATGAAACATCCCTCTTTATCTCTTGTCATGAATTCCTTATTCAGAAATGTTGTTTGGTACTTTTTCTGTTAGCAGTACAGGCACTCTAGCTTTTTTATGATTAATTTTTATGAAGTGTTATCTTTTTTTATTTTTATCTATATTGTTACATTTAAAACATTTTCTTATAGACACCATAAAGTTAACACTTGCTATTTCATCCAATCTTATACTCTCTGCTCTTTAGTTATAGTACTCAGAGCATTTACTTTTAAATTATTAAAAGTTTGGGTTTATATCTGTTACCTTTTAAAAATAATTATCCATTATTAATTGTCCCTAGTATATGTTCATTTTCCCTAATTTTCTTTTCTTTTTCTTGAGTATGTTAATGCATTTTTCTTCTTTTCTGGTTTATTAGCTATAACATTTCTTTTATATTTTAAGTCAGTTTTCCAAAGTTTGTAATATTCATGTTTAACTTGTTGCAGTGTCTTCATATTATACCACTTTGAATAAAATCTCTTTAACTTTGCTCTTTTGTTGTATGTATTTTAGTTGTTTATGTGATAAGCACCATAACACATTTATATTATTTTTGCTTTAAGTATGCAACTATCCATTAAAGAAATTTAAAGATATGAAAGCAAATATCTTTTATCTGAATTTTGAGTTTCCAGCAATCAAATCCCTTTTTTATATCTGAATTTTTATGATAAAATATCCCTTCCACTGGAAGAGCTCACTTTAACAGCTTTTTTACTGTACAAGTCCACTTGACACAATAGTACAAGGACAAACAGATAATACATAAACTAATGAACATGAAAATTTTTCAGTAAAATTTAAATACAAAACACAGGTAGTAGGGTAGTATATGCAGCCCACAGGCTATAGTTTCCTGACCCCAGGTCTACAGAAGCATTTATCTGAAGTCTAGTTTAGTCCTGCTAATAAAGGATAGCACCCCCAACCCAAGATTCTGGTCCATGCCCTGAATGTTTTAATGACCTAAGTGCTTCCAAGCAGAAAGCAAGGATGGTTATGAGACTGACCACATTTGTTTCCCTTCTCTCAGGGAATGCAGTCCTATTATTCAGTGTTGCATATATATTTTATCCAGTTTCTTAGTTATAGTACAAGGCTAAATCCAGTCCATTAACTTGCTCATGATTTTAACATCATGGCTGTTAAGACCCTTAAGCATGCAACCAAAGAGAAAGCAGTTCCAGCAGTCACAGATTTGTTAGTGGAAGTTAGTGTGCTATCACTGATATAAACAAGTTAATGTTTGCGTGGTTCTATTTTTATGAAAACCTGATCATTTTTGTCTGAATCTCTTCCTGTTATGAAAAAAAAATTACAGTTACTTTATTAACTGAGTTTTGAAGAGAGTTTTCCTGCAGAACTACCAGTTTCTGAAATAGAAGAAGGAGATAATGAGAATTACTGCCTGGCACTTTTATTTTACTTAGCGAATAAAAACAACCCATTGAGCCAGAACTTATTTATATTAGGCTGTGTCTATGTTAATGAAGCTACAGCTCACAATTACCAGTCATCCCAAATGCAAACAAGACTCTTCAAAACGTTAAGGTAATAACTTTGTACGTATTGCCATCAGATCTCTGTTAGATGTAAAAAAAACTGGTATTATTTTTCTGTTGTGTGCAAAATTAATTTGTCTTAAACTAATGTCTGGCTGACAGTTTAATCCTGAGTCACTTTTTCATAATTATATAATCTTTTGATAGAGAAGTGCTGAGATGTGAAGTCATTATTTTTGTTTCATTGTTACTTTAAACAGTTTTGAGCGTTGATAGGAATTACTGTGCCACTTTTATATCAATCCTAGAAGACCATTCAGACTAGGCAGTCACTTTATATGTTAGCATTTTAATAAGTGAGATATTCAATGAATAAATGAAATACTCATTTCTCTCCACAAGCAAACGTGTTAAGAATTCATTCTCTCATAGCATCTACTGACATCATCTATTAATGCCATGGTAGACTTGGGTTTGCAAAAAGTGATCATATCAGATGTCTTCTTTCTAGGATTTTTGTGTATTATAGGTTTCCAACTTATCTTGTGTGATTATATAGCTAAATTATTTATATTTAGCATCCCCAATCCAGAATCTCAGAGTCTTAAAACTTTTTGAACACCAACGTGAGACCACAACTGGAAAAGTTCACTCCTGACCATTTGTGACAGGTTGCAATCAATATATAGGTGCACTCAAAATGCTGTATAAAAGTACCTTCAGACTGTATGTGTAAAGTGGATGTGGTCCTGAGTTCAATTGCCAGTACCAAAGAAATAAAAACAAATAAAATGCATATGAAACATAAATAGACTTGGATCCTATCTCCAAGATGTCTCATGTATATATACAGGTATGCCGAAATCTAAAACAATTCTGCTTCCAAGCTATTCAGATAAGGGATATTGAACTGTATGCCATACTCTTCATGCTTTCCTTTCACTGGAATCAGATGCTTAAATTACATGATTTATAATCTTTGTCTCACAGAATGGATTCACTGCAGTGCCCCCAAGCCAATCTTTACAAGATTTCTCTACCTTTCTCCTTTATACTCAAAAGTGGTTAGAGCCAAAATAACAAAATGAGTAGAACTTTGGACTGTAAATTTTTCATTTCCCTGAAATCTTACGTTCCACAGCAAAGAGAACAATTCTTGATAGCTATAGCTTCTGATGGTAACAGCTTATGTGAGTAGTTTTTTTGGAAACTAGTCTTTCCCCTTCCTGAATGCAAGTCCGATTGGTCAGGCTTGTTTTCAGCTTCATTTCTCCATGGTGTTTATGGGAGAACAATTTCTGGGTCCCTAGTGGTGGTTCTGATATCACAAATCTTTTTATTTTTTCCCTTTCAGTTTTTCTGTGCTAGGAAGAAATCTTTATTGTATCATATAATACGTCTTTTTTGCTGTTTCTGAGATAGGCATAAAACTTCTACTATCTGGCTAACTCAAGATGAGTTACATTTGTTAAGATCTCAGACTTCCATCAATCATATTTTAAATTCAGGTCACTAAAAGAGTGGGTAAATCCCACATTTATCTTCCCAGTTCCATCATTTCAAACCTCCTCCCAGCATAGAACCTGAATCTCTGAACATTAAGTCCCAGAAACAGGCTAATTCTCCCAAAGAGGCTATCTAAACTTACTCTAAGAGTGAATTCAATATTACCCATATTCTTATTTTCAAGGACACATATACTGATTTTAAAAAAAAACCTTAGCTAGGAAAACATCAATTCCCATGTGCACATGTCTGTTGCTTGTGGAAAAAACAACTATGACCTTTAATGCTATCAACACTGACTACATCAAAGGAGTGTTCCAATCCCATTAGAAAAATCTGGGATTAAAAAAAAAGAAAATCTGGGATAATAGAAGAAATTATTTGTTTTTTATATGTCAGTACTAGCAAGGTAAGCAGTTTTCCAAAGTAACCTTACCAAGAATCAAAAGGCAGATAAAAATAGAAATGTAAGCCCAAATTACTTATATAGTATCAAGGAAACTAAAGTGTGTAATTCAGCTTGACTGTAGTAACTTGAGCACCATATAAGCCAAAGTTTTCTTTCACCTCATAATTTTCTTGACACGTTGGAGGATGTACATGTATATCATATCCTTCCCTGCAGTGTGCCTGCTGTATCTGTTTTTCACAGCTGTCAGTTGAATTCACTCTGCATTAGCCTTATGGCAGTCTTGAGTCCATTCGCCCCTTAGGTGTTTACTCCAGAGAGCAAAAGACTGCAGAATGTGTCCAGCTTCCATACCGTGCTAGCAACCCTGTTTCACAGGAGGCATGTCCCAAATCCTACTTCTTGAGATTTTTTTTTTCTGATTAACTAATTCTTCATTTTTTCGCCTGAATTGGTTATTTTTCAGGAAATTTCCCTCAAGGCCTAGAATATAAAAAACACTTCATGACACAAAGTGTTCATTCAAGTAATTCAAGATTACTAATAATACATATGCTGAATGATACAATAATTTTGTAAAAGATAGCATCACTTCTTCAAGACAAATATTGCCCTTTTTTGTTTTCCTAATGATCAGTGACTACCCATAGAGGATTGTACTAAGATACTGGCAGCATTCACATCAGAGGCTGGTATTTAATGGCAGAAACAGTGAAAGAGGAGTAGGGAAAGCAGTTGCTCTCTTTTTTGTTTTTGTCAGATTATTCTTGCATTTTATTTCAGTCTTTGTTTCTCTTAACTTTCCTTTCATTGGGGACTCTTTTTCCTTTTACTTTCCTTGAAAGTCAAAAGCTTTTTTAATCTACTTCTAGCTTTTTATTAAAACTTATTTCTCAAAATGTAGGGGTTTATATTTAAAACTCATAGTTAAAAGCATGTTAAAAGTTGGATCTCCATTTTTTAGATTTTGTTGGTGTCTTAGGAAAAAATGAAAGGATGAAGAGGAAATTATTTTCTTGAACTGCTCGCTAGGAAATCCTTATATGTTAAAAGCTCTTGTTCTTTTCTAGGAGTCCAATGTGCTGATTGCTGCTAACAGTCAGGGTACAATTAAGGTAAGCTGTTTTATACACCTCCATTCTGAAATCAGACTCAGTTTTAGACTACAACAGGATCCTGAAAATAGATAATTGTCTGGAGCCTGAGAGATCATTCCAAATTATGAGTCTCTGTGTCCTTGAAAATGTCTTGAATGAGAAAAGAAGTGCGTAGCTTTCAACTACGGAGATGACAGTCTTTGTTGAGGTAGTACAGGTTAATAGGTGGTCAGCCTGAATAACAGAAGATTCTGCTGAGCACTCACTGTGGGCCAAGCACTGTGTAACTTCTCTGACAGTGCTGCTGCTGTCCCACTGAGATAGCAGGAAGTACTTACGCACTCACTTCATTTAAACATGCTCTCTTAATTTTGTTCTTCGTCTTATTTTTCTTCCTTCTCTTCCCTGACAAGTGGATGTTTCCTCAGTTGCCAAAGTGTAGGGGTCAGGTAGGTGGGACTGATAAGTGTTC